TTGTCACCCTTTGGGTCATTACTTAGGTGCCGTGTTACTCCGCTGACTTCCGTATGGATCCATAGGGGTCGCGCGCCCTCGTTTTGTGTTTCTGGGGCCTTCTAGAGTCTAGTTATAGAATGCTGTGGAATGTTGAGTATCGCGATTACGTCAGAAGTATCTTATCGAAGACAATAGAACAATCACTTGTGGCGGTTATCAAAGATAATTTTCCTGATTGGGGTAGGTCGTGTGACAGAGGGTGATTTGTCAAACCACTAAAATCACTGAGTCAATTTTTACTCCTATCCTTATATATCACAGTATATCCATAGTATTTTATTTCATAGATCTTTCCAGCGGTTAACTTTTTTATAGATAATATCATTACATCTACAAGTGGTAATCACTATTTCACCATCAACTAGCAACATACTGTGCTTACTGTGTTTATTGTGTTTGAATATTTCTTAGGATATACGATAAGCCGAACATAGGAGTAAACACTGTGAGATACTACGAATATAATATTGAACGATAATATTGAAGGATAATTGCAATATTGAACATTGCCGACCAATTTTGATTGATATTGATTGATTTTGATCGCCAGATACATTATAGTTTTAATTTTTTTTACCCCAGGGAGTTAAATTGGTACACCGTGCATTTTGAACCGCTTTGAATAAGTTGGTTCGTTTCATAACCTAGGTTGACTATTTGTACATACACTAAGATACACATTTAGGATTTTATTTTTTGACATCATTTCATTTACATTCAGTTGATTGATTTTGATTTTTGCATTTTTACGATAATATAACGACACGATAACGACCATGACCATGACTAATACTGCTACTATTAGTGCAAATAGTACCGCTACCGTTAGAGGTAACAAGACCTTCAACGAGTACGGTGCATACGAGAAGAAACAGTACTTGTTGAAGGACAAATACAAGTACATTACGCCAATTCAAGAGGGAGCCTTCGGGAAGGTTACATTGGCGGTTAATGTCCAAACAAGGGAGAAGGTGGCCATGAAGGCCATGTATAAGTCTCATGAGAACACTAGGAGGATCGCGAACCATGAGATTGACGTGTTGAGTAAGATTGGTCGCAACAATGACAACATTTGTCAATTGCTCGACCACTTTGAGACTTCGGAGTTCATCATTTTGATCTTGGAATATTGTTCCAATGGTGACTTGTATGATTTGATCCACTCTTCGATTAATATTTCGGCAGTGGATCTTTGGAATATCGCCAAAGAATTGGCCAATGCATTGAAGTATGCCCATTCGTTGGGCATTTATCATCGTGATATCAAACCCGAGAACGTTTTGTTCAACTGCTTTGGTAGAGTCAAGTTATGCGATTGGGGCTTGGCTACTACTGAGAGAATGAACAGCGAGTTCAGCGTCGGTACTGAGAAGTACATGGCACCTGAAGTGTTCATCGAGAAGCCGGAATTGACGGAGTACGATTGTAAGTACGTTGATTACTGGTCTTTTGGTATCACTTTAATAACCGCAATTTTTGGTACTTGTCCTTTCAAGCCTGTCGGAGAGTCGTCTAACATTCACTCCGACTATAACTTTAAGAAGTTTGTTTACTACGGCAATTCCCAAATCTTGTATGATATCTACCCTACCATGAATGAAACCTGCTTTAATATTTTTATGAACTTATTGAAGATTGGAGGTAATGAAGATAATTTATTAGAATTTAACGAGAAGATTAATTCGAGAAACTTAGACAATTTTATTCAGGATTTACAAGATAACTGGAAGTTTGGTTTGACGATTGATGAAGAGTATGAATTGGAACAACTCGACGATGACGCCGAGTCCGACAATTCTAATGACCTCTTCAACATGGATCACGATGATTTATCAAACGAAAACCAAGACGAACAATTATCATTTGATACGAGCGTCGAATCAGAGTCTGATTCGGACGAATACTTAACCAATTACGACACTTCAATGAAGATTAGAATGAATCAAGAATCTGACCATCACAGTGTTATTCCTTCTTTAATCGAATCATCGATCAAATCGCTGTCTTCGAAATCTTGGTGTGACTTGGATGATGATGAAGAGTTCAACAAAATCTTCAATGCCATGTCGCTCAACAGGACTAAGGAACCTCAATTGGATATCGTCAAAGATAACTTCAAGAAGGCTAACCTTGGTAATGATGACATTGACATTTTGAAAGTCGAATGGAATTTATATAATAGTAACCACCAAGCGTATAATTGATTCTATTATAGGTTGTTTGGTGTTTGAGTATATAGCTTTAGATGATTACTATCCAGTATAGTATCTATGATCACTTTAAACTTAATAAATTTTTCAATCGAAGACTAGACCACACCATAGAAGGCATTCGTAGCAATTGGACTCATCTGAAATACATACCAGAGTATTTCACGGCGACAATCCAAGGCTACATTTGCCACGTATACGTCGATTACTGAATTCCCTATATCATCAGCAAACCAAAAGACTTATTTACTATTCTCCAAGCTTATCTCGCCGGAACGGCTGCATACTATCTTTTCCCCATTCCAAACCTTGAAGTCATAATATAGCGGCATTCATCGTGATTGTTCATTTCTTCTTTCCGGCCCTGAACTACATGAATCATACTTTCTCCGTTACAGGCTACGAAGAACAGCTGCAAATAATGACTCCAATATCCACTCAAATCTGTCTTATCACTGTTTTAAAACTATATATCTAATGTATGCTACACTGGATTGTAATGTGAAAGTATTTTCACTACAAATATCCTCGATGGGCCTATAGAAATGTACATATATACCATTGAATTGGCTCAATATGCCATCTAATTTGGTTCGCAGAGTAGGCTCCGGTTGACCGCAAGAATAATGAAAGCGGTTACGGACCTGTTCCGGGAATTTTGACACGACCTGAAAATTACTCATAGGTGGAAAATTCTTCAACGACGTTCTAAATTGATCCAATATATAAAGAGCTATTATAATTTCCTTTACACAATTGAATTATATTTCTTCAGTTAATTAATTATAACAAATTATAGGATGTCTATCAGAAACGCTTCTATTCGTATGGCCCGTATGGCCTCCAACAATGCTGCCAAGCAAGTTGCTTCCAAAAGAGCTTTATCAGCTTTAGCTAATGCTGCTCGTCCAGTTGTTGCCAGAAAGTCAATTGCTCCAGCCGCTGCCCGTGGTGTTAAGACCATAAACTTTGGTGGTATGGATGAAATTGTCCACGAACGTGCTGACTGGCCAAGAGAAAAGTTATTAGAGTACTTCAAGAACGATACTTTAGCTTTAATTGGTTACGGTTCCCAAGGTTACGGTCAAGGTTTAAACTTGAGAGACAATGGTTTAAACGTTATCATTGGTGTTAGAAAGGATGGTGCTTCATGGAAGGCTGCCATCGAAGATGGATGGGTTCCAGGTGAAAACTTATTCGATGTCAACGAAGCTATCGGTAAGGGTACTTACATCATGAACTTGTTATCTGATGCTGCTCAATCTGAAACCTGGGAATCTATCAAGCCACAACTTACTGAAGGTAAGACCTTATACTTCTCCCACGGATTCTCCCCTGTTTTCAAGGAATTGACCCACGTTGAACCACCAACCAATATTGATGTTATCTTAGCTGCTCCAAAGGGTTCCGGTAGAACTGTCAGAACCTTATTTAAGGAAGGTAGAGGTATCAACTCTTCTTACGCTGTCTGGAACGATGTTACCGGTAAGGCTGAAGAAAAGGCTATTGCTTTAGCTGTTGCCATTGGTTCTGGTTACGTTTACCAAACCACCTTCGAAAGAGAAGTCAACTCCGATTTATACGGTGAAAGAGGTTGTTTAATGGGTGGTATCCACGGTATGTTCTTAGCCCAATACGAAGTCTTAAGAGAAAACGGCCACACCCCATCTGAAGCTTTCAACGAAACTGTTGAAGAAGCCACTCAATCCTTATACCCATTGATCGGTAAATATGGTATGGACTACATGTACGATGCTTGTTCCACCACCGCCAGAAGAGGTGCTTTAGACTGGTACCCAAGATTCAAGGATGCCTTGAAGCCAGTTTTCAACGACTTGTACGAATCTGTCAAGAACGGTACCGAAACCCAAAGATCTCTTGATTTCAACTCTCAATCTGACTACCGTGCTAGATTAGAAGAAGAATTAGAAACCATTAGAAACATGGAAATCTGGAAAGTCGGTAAGGAAGTTAGAAAATTACGTCCAGAAAACCAATAGGTTATTTGTATGTGAGTTCTACTTCTAAATCATAATTTTTACTTTGCTCATAATGGTCTTTAAAGAATGACTTAATGACTTCAGTAAAAATGAAACTTCAATTCTTAAACTTTAATATATCCAACTTTTTTTTATTCGTATTTTTATTTATGGGTTAGGTTTTTCAAATCTTATTTACATAGCTAGCATATAGGAACTTCTGTTTGTTGAATAAACATGTTCTGATATTAAAAATTATCCTGTAGAAGAATGTAGGACCCTTTATTTGAGACAAGTTTGTCCACAAAAAAGCATGAATCTCAATATAAAACTTCTTAAAAATTCTAGAATATACCCAATTTATGACGGAATAAATTCAACGTGTACGAAGATCCTTAATTATATCTAGAACTGTTGCATTTTCCTTCTTTAGTTGGAGCGTGAGGTATCTAACTATTAATGAGTTAGTTTAATTTTTGAAGTACATTTACAGTTCATTCATACTATTAATATCGATTAAGAATATTGGTTACAAATAATTGTAATGCTTTCATTTTCTTTGTTACACTTTAATCAACATTGGAAGACCGAAGTATCGTACTGTTGTTATCAAGAAATGTAGGAGTATAAAGTATATCACGACATTTTTTTAAGCTGCAGGTTTTACTTAAGAGGCAACTCTCGGCCGGGAGAAGTGATATTAATTGCAAATTTCTTATATCATAAATTTATATCATAAATAAGGTCTTACATTTAATATTCATACATTATGGAAATATTTACTACAGACAACTTCAATCAAATAGGTGGGATACAGAAGAAAAGAAGGCGACCCATTAAACTGTGTTCGGGTTGTAGAAACAGGAAGAGTAAATGCGATATGAAAAAGCCAATTTGTACAAGCTGTCTGGTAAAAGGACTTCACACTTGTAAATATGAAGAGTCATCATCATACTCTGTGAAAATAGGTAGCAATGAAGTTGACCTTCTTAAGAAAGAAAATGAGCGTTTATTACTGACAATCAAACAATTGAGGAGCCAAATAACCACAGTTTATCCAAGCCCAAAACCGGACAACGACAATGAGATTGAAGCAGATAAATACCAAATAGTTTTTTCAAACCCCACCGGACAATGTTTTGTGGCCCTACTTCATTTAGAATTGTCTTTCAAAATCTGATTGTTTGGAATTACTATATGTCGATCAAAAACTCCCTTAAAGCACAGAGAAATGATTGGAAACTTAAGAATAGACCGAAACCCCCAATTTTTGATAAGCTTTATTCGGAATCAAATGGGCTTTTAGCTGATATTCAAAGATTTCTTCCTCAATATTCGATTCTACTCGAGTATTTATTGCAATTTTTTGATGGATTTTGGTACAAGTATTTACCTATAGTTGATGGGAATGATATTTTGCAAATATTTAAAATGCAGTTCAAAGAATCAGACGATAAAATGAATATAGAAATAGTACTGCCGCAAAATTCAGTTGAGTTTGCAAATATTGCGGTAATAATAACTATCTTGAAATACTCCGTAAATTAAGAAGCTTGCCTGCCTGGCATAGAGTTTAATAAATTTAAGGATGAACATGATATTCTACTAAAATTTGCGACAAAGCTATTGGATAAGGCAGATTATTTGGAAAAGGCCTCATTACCATCGCTACAAGCAATTCATGCTACGTATTTTTAAAAAGTTTAACTTCAAAGATGGAGATGGAGGTGACGGCAGTAATGGGAACATACTTTTTGCAATTTGTTTAGAAATGGGGTTTACATTAGGCTTGAATCAAAACGTTGATCTACTTTATAAACAAGAATCAACGAATTACAGGACTGTTTTGAAGAATCTTTGGAAATATTTACTATTCTTTGACACCATCAATTCATTTGACCTTGGTGTGCCACTACATATTTCCGATAATAGCGTGAGGAAGGATTTATTAGATCTTGATGATATATTTATCAAAACCATACTCAAGAAGAGAGAAATATTAAATGTTTTCTTATCCCCAAAATTGATTCATGATGATATTGGAAATGTAATAAATGAGATTAGATACTTTATAAACCAAAATTTTAAAACTGTGTTTGAGTTGATTATGGACTTCGAAAATTCATCTAACTTAGAAGACTCTTATAACATTATACATCAATTCGTTCTATCAAGCTCCTTAATTGCAATGATACAGCACGGATGCTTACTCTTATATAATGAATTGAGAGGTAGTGATAGTAGGTTGGGAACTCGATCTCACAATTTGGCAATGAAGTATACTATTTTAATGATAATATCAACTGTCGAGCTTACGAAGAGAGTATATCTATCAAGTATGGAGTTACTTTCAACTCCCAGTACAAATCAAATTCACTTTTTTATTGGGGGAATGCAGAACCAATGGTTTAGCAGAGCATTTCTATTTTACTTTTTTTCATTACTTACTTACGTTAAATCACTGAAAAATCAGGGACAAAGAAATATAACCGACAGTCATATTGTTTTAAAATTATCTGAACTCGCAGACCTTTATAACGACGTTGATAATATTCATGATGATGGATTCACAGAAACGAAAACCTTGGTTTCATTAAATATAATAGTAAGTCGCTACATAAATATGCGAATTTTCCTAGAAACAAATGGGGGCGAAAGAGAGCAAAAGAAACTCGTAACTAAAATTCATAATTATGGCTTGTTCATAATAAATGCATGGTTATGCCACTTTAAACAGTTGATATCACAGGATGATGATTTTAAATCCATAGTGCATTTCAATGAAAATAATTTGGACATAGTTTATGATTCGATACAAGAATCGTTTCCAAGTCAGCTGTATGTCGCTCAGAATTTCAGCTCGATTCCAACCTTAGATATATTCGATGAACTCGAGCTTAATGCAACGCTTGAAAACTTCAACAAAGATATGTACGACTTTTTGATGATGTAGCCTGTAATATTGGTACCAGCTAGTTTTTAATAAATGAAATTAATTTACATAGAATTAATATTAGAAGTACGGTATTGGATAGGTTCTTTTTCCCAACACTTTACAAGGTAAATATGAGTTGAATGGATTTATAGAAACATGAAATAACCTTATATGGGTCTTTCTAGTTAATTTGTCCTGTCTTTCAGATCCATTCAATTTGGGTGCAAATTATTACGAACTGTGATTAATCTATAGCTTTTACCGTTTCATGAACCACCCACCTGTTACTTCTATATTATAATACAAACAACTAAAACCTACGATCACAAAAAACACTCCTCCTAGTTCCCTGTTCACTTTGCTCTATATTAGTGTTACGTAGAAGACATAGTCCAACTAAATCATACAAAAAAGTTCCAGTCACAATTACGCCGAAACAAGCCCTAACCAGAGCCACTCACACGTGAACCAACAATTCGAGTCACAGAGAAAATTGACAATTTTTGAGATTTAGTGTCGTGGTCAATTCCGGAATGCCAGTCGAGGCCAACCGGGAGTGTTAAAAGCTGCAAAACGTGATATAGTGGACAATTCGAGGGTTTCCCGGTGACCGGATATTGAATAGGCATAGCGACCAGGTGAAAAATTATTTCGTCGTACTAAGTATAAGTGAATTTCATTTTTCAGTTCTTTTCAGATTATATAGATTTATCATAGTAAAATGGCTGTTGGTAAGAATAAGAGATTGTCCAAGGGAAAGAAAGGTTTGAAGAAGAAGGTCATCGACCCATTCACCAAGAAGGAATGGTTTGACATTAAGGCCCCATCCACCTTCGAAAACAGAGCTGTTGGTAAGACTTTAATCAACAGATCCACTGGTTTAAAGAACGCCGCCGATGGATTAAAGGGCCGTGTTGTCGAAGTTTGTTTAGCTGATTTACAAGGATCAGAAGACCACTCTTCCAGAAAGGTCAAGTTGAGAGTAGACGAAGTTCAAGGTAAGAACTTATTGACCAACTTCCACGGTATTGACTTCACCACTGACAAATTGAGATCTTTGGTCAGAAAATGGCAATCATTAGTTGAAGCTAACGTCACCGTTAAGACTTCCGATGATTACGTCTTGAGAATTTTTGCTATTGCTTTCACCAAGAGACAAGCCAACCAAATCAGAAAGACCACTTATGCCCAATCCTCTAAGTTGAGAGAAGTCAGAAAGAAGATGATTGAAATCATGCAAAGAGAAGTTTCCAACTGTACTTTGGCTCAATTAACCTCCAAGTTGATTCCAGAAGTCATTGGTCGTGAAATTGAAAAATCAACCCAAACCATCTTGCCATTACAAAACATCCACATTAGAAAGGTCAAATTATTAAAACAACCAAAATTCGACTTAGGTTCCTTATTAGCCTTACACGGTGAAGGTTCCACCGAAGAAAAGGGTAAGAAAGTTTCTGCCGGATTCAAAGATGTTGTTTTAGAAGCTGTTTAAATTATCTTGCATAAGGTGACCTTCGAGTCAATTATTGTATATTTAACGAAAAAAAAACTTATTTTTGTTGTATGTTTAGGGTGAAATTATTCAGTTTCTTTTGGGTTATTTTTTCTAATTTTATGTCATGAAAGAAAAAAATCTTGTATATTGCTTATATTAATGCTACGTCGTTTATTATTATCTTGTAGAAGGACTGTTTATCCTATAAAAAATGTGGTTGGTATCTTTGGGAATCTCTCACATAAGCGATTTTGGTCGCAGAGAGAATGATCAAAAAATTGAAATGATCTATTTTGCTTCCATTCATCTTTACTTTCGTATACACTACTAACTATTAAGCCAATTATCGTACATAGTGATGAGTGATAACCTGTTTGATGATAACGATGATGCCTGGTCGTATTCATTTCCGCCTTCGACGGAATCATTGACTTTAAGTAAAAAAGATGATGACAATTCAAAATTAGATAACGAATTGAACTCAGGCATCCAACGAGGAGATAAAGACAAGGATGTATTTATTGATAGTGATGACTCTAGAAATCACACAATTGCACAGAATAGATCAAATGTCCATCCATTGCTGAATAAACTTGCGAGCAAGAAAGGCCAATTATCACGGACGTCTTCTACATCTTCGGTTGGGGATTCAGAAGAGCCGAAAGAAGATAAAAAAGATCATGTACAGACAAACGGAAATGGATCGCATGCATCGTCTTTGACATCGCTTCCATTGCAATCTTCATATTTCGTAAAATCTACACCGGCTAATCCACACACAACAAAGGAGGATGCTAACTCTATTATCTCGAGGGAAGGAGCTCAGGGGTCAGGCTTTTCTCTTGATTCCAATTTCAATAGCCAAAGCACACCAGTCACTTCGTCCGCAAGGTCTAATCTTTCAAACAATGTTGTCCATGATGTGGGCGAATTAGCAAGTTCCTATGGCTCGCGGGACGAAAACTCAGATATTGATAAAAGTAAATCGGCCAAATTTGATAATGAAGGATCTTTGGACTCATCTTCACCAAAGATTATTACTTATCGTAAGTCGAAAAGAACAATTAGCGAAGGAAATTTCCAGAATATATTAGATCAATCTGTAAAAGCTACGCCAAAGGAGAAGTATGATCCAAAGTTGTATGTCGAGGAGAAATTCATGGATACGGACTATAGATATGCTACCACTAGAAGAACTGCAGAATTTCATCAGCTATTTAGATCACTTGATTTAACTGATAGACTTCTTGATGATTTTTCGTGTGCATTGAGTAGAGAAATATTGCTTCAAGGCAGAATATATATTAGTGAAAATAATGTTTGCTTCAGCTCAAATTTATTGGGATGGGTTACAAGTTTGATTATTCCCCAAGAGGAAATTATCAGAATCGAGAAGAAAACTACAGCAGGGTTATTTCCTAACGGTATATCCATCGAAACAGCAAGTGGAAAACATAACTTTGCTAGCTTTATTTCCAGGGATGCTACTTTTGATTTCATGAAGACTATATGGCAAGGCACTACAGGTAGGAAAATGGAAATCATTGAAGAAAAACCCATGGAAAAACCTGGTTATTCATTAGATAGCAATGGAATTGTGTCAGTAGAAAATGAATGTCTCGATTCTCCAGCAAAATTAGAATCATATATTTTGTCTATTGATGGGGATGAAGAAAGGCATGGTGATAATGAATACGCATCAGACCATAGTGATTCAGAAGACACATCTGATGATGCTGTGCTGCTTAAAAAAACCAATTCGAATAAATCGAATAAAAGAAAAAAGATAGATACAGTTGATTTGAAGGTTTTAAAATTCAAGCCTGATTCAAAGTATATCAATATGGGACCGGATTTTCATCCGCCAACCAAAGTAAATGATTATGCAAAGGAAAATAATGAAACAGAGTTATGCAATGAAGTAATTAACGCACCATTAGGTGTAGTTTTTGATTTATTATTTGGCAGTTCTAATACGACATTTCATAAGAGCTTTTTAGAAAGCCACAATGCTTCAGAAATTTCAGATTATGACAAATTTCACCCAAACAAGGATGATCCAAGTAAACTTGAACGTAAAATTAGCTACAGAAGAGCGTTGGGATATTCCATTGGCCCCAAATCTACAAGATGTGAGGTCGAAGAAACGATAGAGAATTTAAATTTTGCGGAGAACGTGGTTTTGATTTCTAGTACTGTTACGCCTGATGTTCCACTGGGTAATTCGTTTTCAGTTAAAACCAGATATTGCTTGTCGTGGGGTGCAAATAATTCAACAATATTAAAGATATCCTATAATATTAAATGGACAGGCAGCTCGTGGATTAAAAGTGTTATTGAGAAGCAAACGTTGGCGGGCCAACAAGAAGCGACTAAAGATCTAGTTGAAGCTTTAAAGAAAGGAATTGATGAAAGTACTTATTATGCTGAAGGCCCATCTGTTCCAAAGAATGTAGCTGAGTTTGTGACTGAGAACAAGCCTACATCTGAGATAACAGAAGAAATAATTAAATCGAATAGAGAAGAATCTGAAAAGAAGACCTCCACATTGTCTCTTTCAAGCAGATTTATTAAAAACAACATCGTATCTATATTTTATGTTGTTTTCTCGTTTTTTGTTATTTTGCTGATATTGCAAATGAAAATAATCAGCGGAGTCAATGAAGCAAATGAGATTGCAAGGAGTCAACTAGTTGTGAATTCATATTTGGTATTTACTGTACAGGCATTAGCGAACGATAAAAGTATGAGTAAGGCTAGGTATAGAGAAAGGATTAAAGCGATGGAAAACGATAACAGCCCATTATGGAAATGGGTAAACGATAAATACGATACCAAGTTAAATAACCTTGAAAAGATTGAATACTTGACATATCAATTGAATTCGTTATATCAGAAGCAGATCGATCCCGAGAATAATGAATTTGTTGCTAATATTGAAGAAAACCTACAAGACTTAAAGAGACTGGTAAAGGATTTTAATTATCAGGAATTGCTTAATGCTGACAATCTAAGAAACATACTAGGCGACTTACTTTAGATCTCCACATGTTACGTTGTTCATGAGTTATATACAATTAAAGTTAATAGTAGTGAAATTTCATGACATTCATTCGAACATAAAAGACTATTTACATAATTAATTTAGTTGTAACATGTAGACTATATACAATATGCGATTAAGCCAGAGTTCAATCAACAAACTCTCAATTCACCATCAATATCTTGTGTTTCAGTTTTTTCAATCACGTTAACATCTTCGACGGTATGAACTATTATTTTATCATTATTTTCATTTAGTTCGAAAATGAATATCCCACTAATTACACGTTCCAATTTATTATGTTCTTTAGTTAAACCTATGAGTCCAGTTGTCAAGTGGGACAAGGTCGTAGAAACAGAAGGTGTCGATTTAGTTGATTTGCCATTCGAATTATTCACAAGCTTCTTGGCATCAAGTTTTGACCACTTATGAGATCCCAATTTTGCATCAGAAGTCGAGTGATAGTTAGAAATATTGCCATTATGTTCGTCCTTCGTGACTTCATTAGGAGACAAATGGTAGCATCCTTCTAAACAAGTATTCCAACGGACGTATATTTTGGTGCTATCAGGATGTACGCTTTGTATTTTTGGGCCTAAATCACCTTTAGCTGCATTAGTTTTTATCGATTGAATATGTAACTTGACTTTGGGATTGAGAATAATGGATGTAAGAATAAATTGTAATGTTTTGCAAGTAGTATAATAGGAGACGTGGCCCTTCAAAGTAGGGAAATAGGCATTGAATTCCTGAAAGTGGGTAGGACAAATCCTCAAGTGAACATTGCTAGATATGATATTTTTCGGTAACGATTTATTAAGGATATTGGGTATGAGTGCTCGTAGTTCATCTGTCATGGTTCCGAGATTCGCCTTTCTAAGCTGATCCTTTGGATTAGGCTTCAAGTCCTCGGAAGGCTGATCAGATCTGGTTGGAATCGTATCGGTGAATTTGAAATTAGCAAGATTCTTCACACTATTTGGGCTTAATCTGGTCCGATTGTAAAAAAATGGTGGTGCAGTCAAGGATGATACTGGAGATTCTAATTTAATGTTGCGGAGGTTAGACACATACTGTTTCTTACATGAATTATATTTCAAACTTGAATGCCGCAATAGTACCTTAGAACCTCTACGATAGATCATTGAAATTAATTATGTAGTTTGAATCTGGTTATATCTTATAAATCTAAACCCTTATGTTATAAGGTGAACATTCCATAATAGCACACGTGATTTTGCTACAAGGCCGCTTGAAAAATATATCGAAGACACAATGTTCCTAAGAATGCATTTACAAAGTGTATAATAGAACGTTTTTATTACTATTACTCGTATACTCTTCTATATATCTGCATGGATGTCAAATGCCCTACAGTAAGTGAATTTAAAAGTGCCTGCTCAACGGAGGATAACTAGAATTAAATTCATTCAATTATTTTTCTTCCTTAATATCTAATGGAGTTAAACGTAAGTAAGGCTTGATTATTCTGAACTTTGGGAATAAAGTCTTAGCGTCTTCGTTAGAAATGGTTGGGTGGACAATAACATCATCACCTGGAACCCAGTTAATTGGGGTAGTGACCTTGTATTTGTCACCAGTTTGTAAAGAGTCAACAACTCTTAAGACTTCAGCGGTGTTTCTACCAGTAGAGGCTGGGTAAGCTAAGATTAATCTAATCTTCTTAGCTGGGTCGATGACGAAGACGGATCTGATGGTGAATTGAAGACCCTTGTCGTCAACGTTAGTAGCATCTTGGTAGTCAATCATATCGTATAAGTGAGCAACCTTTCTTTCTGGGTCAGCAATGATTGGGAAGCTTAATTTGGAACCAGTGACTTCATCAATATCTTTGATCCAAGCCTTGTGGGATTCAGTACCGTTAGCAGATAAACCAATTAACTTAACGTTTCTCTTGGTGAATTCTGGTTCTAACTTAGCGAAAGCACCTAATTCGGTGGTACAGACCGGGGTGAAGTCATCTGGGTGGGAGAATAAAACAGCCCATGAGTCACCAATGAAATCGTGGAAGGAAATCTTACCGTTGGAGGTTTCAGATTCGAAGTTTGGCGCAGTAGACCCTAATCTCAAGGTAGTGTGTTGTTGGGAAGCCATTTTTGTTAATTGTAACTAATTCTAATCAATTGATTAATTTAAATTATAATTTTGATTACGTCGGCCTAATTAATGGCAAATACACCTAGGTTTATATATGGCTTGATCGAAGCTGAAAAATCACCACTTCGCACGTGCCATGGTTCTACAGCACTCCGTATATTGAACTAGAGCAATAACGATAAAACATGTGATCTTGATAACAAGTATCCTCCTGTCTCGAACAAAGACGTATGTGGGCGTATGTAGCCGAAGCCATAACTAGTGTGGTGTTTATTTGGATACGTAAATACGAATTACAATTACCAAATAATATTATGCAGAAAATTTGTGTAGTCTCAATTACAGGTATGTAAATATATAGGCATTTTGCAACTTCTAATTATTGGCAATATTATCTTTTGAAACTAAATCATCATGCTCTATGTCTTCGGCTTCTAAATCAACGCCAAAGTCATCCAAGGTTTCGCCTAGGTCGTTCATCCATTCCGACCTCGTCATGTTGTTTCTGGGGTCGAGACGTCTTCTTAGGCTAGGCATATCCTGAAGTTCAGTGTCAGATATATCAAAATCATTGTCTACTGGAGCCATCGATTCCTGGTGACCCCCATCAGGAGGCCATGGTAAGCCCAATTGGTCATCTTCCATGAATTCGTTTTTTTGGAAATGGTAGCCATTTTCTCTGGGACTACCCCATGGGAGTAACCACATCCATGGGTAGCCACATGCATTGATCATATTCGACAGCACGCCTAAATCATAGGGGAAAACGATATCGTCAGATGTAAAATCCTTAGGGACTATATTGTTCTCATTTGAACCGTCATCATGACAATCCTCATCCACCTCGTAGTATCTGGTAGTCCTGTTCCAGGATACTAAATGAGGCATTTCTTTTCCATGTAGCTTGAAGTAATTTTTCCGTATTTGCAACCACAATCTTTCAGTATGGAACTGGGAGTCTATTCTCTCCAATTCCCATACTTCGATCTGCGTCATACCTCTGAACAACAAGTTGATCATACAACGAACGAACAAAATAATGATAGTAACAAATACAAAAAATGTAACTGGAAGTAAAAATATCACCGCACACATTTCCTTCTTGTCTATTAAGTACGAAGGTAACTTACTATTATCATAATAATGGAGTACTTGTCTACCCAATTGGAAAAGAACGTAAGTCATTCCCACTATCAAAAAGAATAAAAACCGTAAGAAATGTGGAAGGTTACCGTATCCTACGCAATTGTACGTCCATGGACAATGATGATCCATTTTCAATACACATTTATTGCAAGTTTTGCAATGATGTGACCTCTCTGGCTTATAATTTTGGCATTTCTTACACCATCTTCTCCATTCTCCAGCTTTAGGTGTAAAGTTTTTTGGCGGGGATCCTGGGTCAACAACGATAGCCAAATAATATGATAACCATACAATACAAACGTATACTTCATATAAAATCTGTTCGGTACGTGACAAGTTGGTTCTGAATACAAAGTAGTGGGAACCATATGCAATCATAGCTATAAGCACACATGGTATCTATAGATAGTTAGCAATTTGCGTTAAAACATGTTAAAGTTTCAAATTTCCAGTTTTTTTTTTTTTCACACTATCAAATACGTACAATTACACCAATAATCGGCCACTTCAATTGAACTGCCATCTTGTCTTGTCAGTGTTTATCGTATACTTATCGTTGATCAATCAAATCTATATGAAAAATGAATTATGACACAAAACAGCCAATATGTCTTTCATTCTGAGTGCGGTGGCGATTAAGAAATATGTCTATGTTAATACTATAGTTGTATCAATCTTAAAATATATAAGATTAGAACTATCGATCATATACAATGGTATGTTAATGGGATACAATAATGATAGAGTAATTCAGGATTCTTATACTAACATTTCAATAGACTTCTATCGGTACAGGTTACGATTTATCAAATAGTGTTTTTTCACCAGGTACGTAGATTTTAAAGGGGAATCGTTCATTATTACGGAGCCATTGTTATAATCTGAATGATATACTAACTCTAATATTTAGATGGAAGAAATTTTCAGGTAGAATATGCCATGAAAGCTGTTGAAAATGGTGGTACATCTATCGGAATTAAATGTAAAGATGGTATAGTATTAGCGGTTGAAAAGATCATAAATTCCAAATTGTTGGTTCCAGGAAAGAACAAGAGAATTCAGACAATTGATAGACATATTGGTGTTGCATATTCAGGACTTTTGCCTGATGGACGTCATTTTGTAAATAGAGGTAGGGATGAAGCACAAAATTTCAAGAACATATACAAGACTCCAATTTCTAGTCCACATTTGATGGATCGTTTGGGAATTTATATCCAAAACTACACTTGTTACAACTCTGTAAGACCATTCGGAATTGTGTCTATTGTTGGGGGTGTTGACGAGAGTGGACCACATTTATATATGATTGAACCAAGTGGAACATGCTGGGGTTACACGGGTGCTGCCACCGGTAAGGGAAGACAAACTGCCAAGTCTGAGTTAGAAAAATTGAACTTTGAGGAGTTGACAGTTAAGGAGGCTGTAAAAGTAGCTGCCAAAATTATCCACCAAGCCCACGAAGACAACAAAGACAAAGATTATGAATTAGAAATTTCATGGTGTTCAAAAGAAGAGACCTCATGCAGACATGAATTTGTTCCTGATGCGTTATTGCAAGAAGCTATCAAATTAGCTCAAGAAGAGGATGAAGAAGAAGAAGATGATGAAGAAGATGCAGAAATGGAAAGCTAGATCTTTTTGTATTGAAAAAGCTCACCATGAAGTAAATTTTATATTACACTCGATAGTTATATAGTCTATTGGTACTAATATAATGATTAGATTACGATTTGCTAGGCTATTTGTCTTGAATTGAAACCAACTGGAATATGTAACCAATTTTTTTTAGTGTTTACGCGCATTGTTTGAAATCTAAACATATGAAACCATCTCTAAACAAAGTAGACATTAGTTGCACAATCTTGATTAAGGTTTAGGTGCTAGGACTATAGATTTATGATATGTCGTCAGAATTTGAGGGCTCTAATCTGTCATACGTTTCAGATGGAGGTGATCTGTCTGAAGTAGTGGCCATATCTCAAAACATAAATAATGATCTGAACAGTGGTTTCGAACATGATGATAGAAACGACATTGATGCAGATTCGACAAGGTCATCTAGTCCATTTTTGTCGAATCCTGAATTGTTGTATAAGGAACAGTTCTCTCCGGTAGCCAGTTCATTCGAAGAAGAGGAATCTATATCACGTCGAGTACAAGATATGGATACAAGCATTGCAAGCCTTAGAGAAACATTGGGCGACCTTAAGGTAGGCGACAGGGACAAGAACAACCAGTCGATACTTGCGGATGAAAGCTTTCACAATTCGACTATGGATACAACTCGCTATAATGAAACACAAGCACAATTTGACCGTGATTTAGATTTCGATCAAAATTTCAATTGCAAGACAGAAAGTCCTAGACATAAAAAGGCTCTATCGCCCTGGAAACAGCTTCGGTCAACATCTACGGCGGCTCCTGGACATATGGGAGAAATACCCAAATTGCATTTTAATCGATCTAATTTTTTTAACAACGACACTAAGCAATCACTTACCCATGATACCACTGCAGTAGCCAAAATCAATGAGCTAAATAAACAAGTCACAGGATACAGAATTCAGATAAAGCTATTTAAACAGTTTTTGCAGCATTTAATTGATAAAACTCGCTACAGTAACACAGATAATGTATTTGATATTAGCGAGTTAAACCATTTCCAGAATAATCTTAACGGACTATCACCACTGAAATCTACAGGTATACCGTCAGGAGATATTAATACTAATGCAGAGGCTGAAGACAATTTGTCACAAAATTACGATGAATTACTCAAGTTGAATGAAGATCTTTATTTAAACTTAGAAGATTTTCAAAATCAGTTGCATGATAAAGAAGTGCAACTAAATAATTCAAACGTATATATGAACGACTGTTCTCGAATTGTAAATGAAATTTTAGAATTGCTTATGAGCGATCCTTCTACTGATGATCCTTCAAGACAAGCATTAGTTAAGTGTTTAGATGGTGCAGCAAGTGATGAAAAACCTTCAAAATCACTAGAAACGAAACTTTATGTTGTTCGATTGGAGCTTCGAAAGAAAATAGAACGCAAGGATCACAGCTATCCTTCACCACCTCCTTCAAATCCTGAAAAGGAGCAGATTGAACTATCAGGATATATAACAATTATCCAAGGGCTTATAACATCATTAGACAAGGTGCAAAAGGACTTTTTGACTCATAAGCAAGACACAACGAAAATCCAAGAAGACTTGAAAAAAGAGGTCGAGAGTACACAAACAATAAGAGCAAATTACGAATCACTATATAATAAGTTCAATCAACTATGCATAACTTTGGAAAGATCTAGATTGGATGATGCTGATAGTGAAATGCAGAAGCTTAGAATAGAAAATCAAAAATTAAGAACCATAAACAACACAGTTGACAACAAATTCAATGAGTATCAGAAAGTTATTGATAAATTGCAACAGGAAGTAAACGACTTTCAAAAGCATTACAGCAATAGTTCAATAGGTGAAACGAGTGAATGGCTAAAATCTTCTAACGATGGGGTCCATCATAATGACTTATTACTATCACGCAAAGAGGTAAACCAACTTCAAGAACAATTGAACAATCTTACTGAACGTTATAGAAAATTACAAGATGATTCTTCAAATACGATATCTACATTGACTAATCAATTGAATAATAAGAAACAGGAGAGTTTATCATTAGGTGCAAATCAAAGAGTTACAGACCAACTAAAGAACGATTTAGAAATTGCAGTAGAAAAGCAACGTGTATTGAAAGCGGAAAAGATCAGATTGTCTTATAGTCTTGAATCTCTTGCAAATGACAAGGTATCTTTACAGACCACGATCAGAAGTTTGACAGAAAAGATAACGTCACTAACAGTGGAGGCGCCCCAGTTCAAGAAAGATGAAATGAATGAAGGCCTCAAAAAATTGAATGTGTTAGAATATCAATTAAGTGAATTGCTTCTGCGTGATGTTCATGAATTTCAAAAATTTCTAAAGTCTTTCATTAAGATTGCAGATGATTCTTCTTTAAAAGAACCTAAAAGGAAAATTGATACTTTAGCAAAGAAGATTTCCCAGGAGAGCAACTCCGACCGTAGTGATAAGATGACCCTGTGGGATATTTCAGAATTGAACACGATCCGTGAGTATCATAAATCCGTGTTCGACTACTTTGCTAGAGCGGTAGATATTATCGTTAACGATCATGTCAAACTTTTATTGAAAGAAGGTGAAAATACTTCGCAAACCAGCGAATATGTTAATAAGTTGCACAAAAGAATAGACGAATTAAACTCCGTTAATGACAATTTGACAAGACAACTAGATTCTTATTACAATGATAGCCATAACGATACTACTCAAAATGCAAGTATTACATCAACGGGCTCGGAAATGAGGATAACTGAGTTAACTAATAGGTGGAAAGCCGAAAGAGAAGCAAGAGTTTATGAGAATCAAGAAGCACAGAAAAGATTAAAGGAGTTAGATAGAGAAAATGCTAGGTTAAGACAGGAACTTGATCAAGTATCCTAGGTTTTATGTACTAATATATAACTGTATAATAGAATTACACAAAATCATAATTTTCAGCATCAAAAATTTTTTTCAACGCGAGCACATCTTTAGTATTGAAGTATCTCAAGACCTTTAACAACTTATACTTCAAATACACAGGCTAAATATGAACGATAGTATGTCTGAACAAGAATATAGGAGCCTCGAAAAAGAGGTTCAATTAGATGACCTTGACTTCTCTGACTTGGAAGCCAAGTATGCAGTTAATTCTGATTTTGGTATGGATAATTATGTTGTTGTCGATGGTGCTCCAATTGCTCCAGAAGCCAAAGTTCCTATTTTAATCAAGGTTTTAAAGAAATTATTTAACACTGTTGGTGAAGTCGTCGAAGGTGATGAAGGAATTTACATGCCATTGGAAGATGGTAAGTCCAAGGGTTATTTGTTTGTTCAATTTAAGACCGCTCAAATGGCAGAAGCTGCTATCCAACAATTACATGGTAAGAAATTAGATCAAAAGCACAGATTATTAGTCAACAAATTAAGTGATATTGAAAAGTTTGGTGCAGAAGGGAATGTTGAAAACGATTTCCATGAACCTGAAATTCCACCATTCAAGAGTCATGGTTATTTGAGGTCGTGGTTACAAGATGAGCAAGGTCGTGATCAAATGGCTTTGCACTTTTCTGAAACTCTTGGTGTTTATTACAACAAGAAGAAGAACGACCCAGAACCTGTTATTGAACCAAGAAAGGGATTTACTTCCAAATATGCCAAGTTCTCTCCATTAGGTACATATTTGTTCTCCGTTCACCCACAAGGTATCCAATCATGGGGTGGTGATGGCTTCCAAAGTATTACTAAGTTTATCCATAATCAAGTTCGTTTAATTGACTTTTCTCCAAACGAAAAGTTCATGGTTACTTTATCCCCACTTCCAATTGCCTTACCAGATGATCCAGCAGAGAGATCTATTTTCCCATTCGGCCCAGAAAGTAACGGTCATAAATTAGTCATTTGGGATATGGCAACTGGTGAACCTGCCAGAACTTTTGCATTACCACCGCATTTAGAAGGTCAGAAGGATATGCCATGGCCATTAGTCAAATGGTCGCATGACGACAAATACTGTGCCCGTCAAGGACCTGGTGCTTTAGCCATTTATGAAACTCCATCATTCCAATTGTTGGATAAGAAATTAGTCAAGATTGATGATATTGTTGACTTTGAATGGGCTCCAGCCGCTGTTCATCTTTCTGACTCTAAGGTAAAGGAAGGTGAGTACATTTTGTCGTACTGGACTCCTGAAAGTTCTAATCAAACGGCAAGAGTCGCCTTGATGCAAATTCCATCCAGACAAGTTATTAGAACCATCAATTTGTTCCAAGTCAGTGATTGTAAAATGCACTGGCATGGTGAAGGTAAGTTCTTGTGTGTTAAGGTTGATCGTCATACCAAATCCCGTAAGACATTTTTCTCTAATTTAGAATTCTTCAAAGTTACTGAAAAGGATATTCCAGTTGAAAAATTAGAGTTGAAGGATGTGGTTTTCAACTTTGCATGGGAACCAAGATCAGAAAGATTCATCACTATTTCCAGATTAGATGATGGTAATCAGAATCCATCTATTGCGAAAAATACTATTTCCTTTTATGCACCACAAGTCCTGTCGAAGGGTAGAGTTACAAGCTCGAAATACACATGTTTCAAGGAAGTTCATGATAAGCATTCTAACACAGTTTGCTGGTCTCCAAAGGGTAGATTTGTTGTTGTTGCTACAATTTCTAAGTCTAGTGGTGAATTGGAATTCTATGATTGTTCGTATGAAGAAGATAAACCAGCCAATAGTAAAGTCAACGGTAATGTTAAATTATTAAAGGCAGAAAAATACTCTGGTATGACTAACTTAGCATGGGATCCATCAGGAAGATTCGTCGCTGCTTGGTCTTCATCTTGGGCTCATTCTATAGAAAATGGTTATAGATTATTTGAATTCACTGGTAATATGTTGAAGGATAACAGTATTGACCATTTCAAAGAATTTATCTGGAGACCAAGACCAGCTTCTTTATTGAATGCTGCTGACAGAAAGAAAGTCAGAAAGAACTTACGTGAATATAGTGCTCAATTTGATGAAGCTGATGCCATGGAAGCTGATGCCGCTAGTAGAGAAGCTATCTTATTACGTCGTAAGTTGTTAGAAGAATGGAGATCTTACAGAGCTAAGCATGCTGCTAACGGTTCCAAGAAGAATGAAGTCCAGGCTGAAATCATTGAGGAAATCAAAGAAGAAATCATTGAAGAGAAAGAAGAAGTTGTTGAATAGACAATTAGTTTTTTTACATAGTTCTATGTTTGTATAAGTACCATTTTCCAGTTATATATTTTTATTCGATCATTAAAAAATTTACACGAATTATAAAGTAAATATTATGTACATGTATCAGCTTTCCTCTATAGAGTCTTTTAAGCAGACTTTGTCTTTAATTGAATCCCATGCCATTTCGAAATTTCGTCTTTCAAAACTTCGTTGACTAACCTATGCTGTTTGATCATTGGAATACCTTTGAACTTTTCACTTTCAACAAGTATAGCAAACATAGAGCCACATCCCCCGGACACATCCTTAACTTGTAAGGTCTTAGGTTGGAAATTATCTTTCAAGATTCCGAATATCTTTTTTTCATAATCATCCATAAGTTGTTCTTCGACAGTAGACATTAAACGCAAACCAGTAGGAATTTTTGGAGTTGGCAACCTTATCCCAGCATATGGTTTTGCCATATAGGCTTGTCTAGATATGACATTTCTTAACATATTGTATAAATTATTAGTTTATAAACCTTGTTCAATCAAGTATTATAGTAGATTCTTACTAATAGTAGAGATTTACTGGCTGAGATCAAAGCATCACAAAACCGAAAATCATGTTTATCAAACATAATGTTGATACTTCTTACTATTAAAATATGCAATTGCGATGTCTCAAGATACAATAAGAATTGTAGTTTGTGGTGATGAATTTGTTGGTAAGTCTTCTCTTATAGCATCTTTGATCAAAGAAAAATTTGTGTCCAATATACAAAGAGTAATTCCTCCAGTAACAATATCCCGAGATGATTATACAAACAGTTTATCAGAATACGTATCCAAGGCTGGAAATTCTAATAAAGCAGATGTAAATAGACCAGAAGGAAAATACATTAAGAATGGGTTTAAAGATAACGATAACAGCAATCAAAACGTACTGAAATATGTTCCTCGGACAACAACAATAATCGATACTACGTCTTCTGATAAGACAACACTCCAGAAAGAACTAAAGCGGGCAGATGTAATTTGGCTAGTTTATTCGGACCATTACACTTATGAAAGGATATCTTTGCATTGGATGACAATGTTCAGATCTATGGGGGTGAATTTACCGATAGTTCTTAGTGCCAATAAATCTGACTTGTTAACCCAAGATTCGTCGATATCTATTAAAACGCAAAATTCTGATGAATTTGTTCTGTTGATCAACGAGTTTAAGGAAATAGAAGCATGTGTGCGGTGCAGTGCCAAAGAGAATTATAATGTTGTGGAGGCATTCTATTTATGTCAACGAGCAATTACACATCCCATATCTCCAATTTTTGATTCAAAGGAAGGTAATTTGAAACCAGCTGCGGTGGCAGCCTTGAAGCGGGTATTTTTCTTGTGTGATAAGGACCAAGATGGTTATTTAAGCTTTAGTGAATTTTCAATCCTACATCAAAAATGCTTTAATCATGCGTCAAGTGAAGAAGAATACCAAAATATTCTCTCTGCGATTAATAAGATCATATATCCGGATGTCAATTCGAAAGGTGAGACCATTGGAATTTCAGTAGACGGCTTCATAATATTGAATAAGATGTATGCTGAACGAGGCCGTCATGAAACTATTTGGGGTATACTAAGAACATTCCATTATACCAATTCTTTATCCCTAAATGATAAATTTTTATTCCCGCAACTAGATGTTAACCCACTTTCCAGTGTAGAATTGGGTCCCATAGGATATAAGTTCTTCGTTGATCTTTTCCTAAAGTTTGACAAAGATAATGACGGTGGATTAAACGAAGAAGAATTAGCAAGTTTGTTTCTTCCAACTCCTGGGATTCCAAGATTGTGGCAAGAGTCACAATTTCCGTCATCTATTGTATGTAATGAAGAAGGATACGTTTCGCTCCAAGGATGGTTGGCACAATGGAACTTGACTACATTTTTAGACTATAAGACAACTCTAGAATATTTGGCATATTTAGGATTTGATGATAATAGTTCGGTTAGCGCTGTGAAAATTACTAAACCAAGAAAAAGAAGACAAAAGCAAGGAAAATTCTATAGACAACCTGTTAATGATAGAAATGTATTCAATTGCTTTATATTGGGAGCTCCAAAATCTGGTAAAACATCTTTATTAGAACTGTTTTTAAGAGGATCATATAGTGATGTGTATTCACCTACAATTAAGCCTAGGTTATGTGTCAAAGATATCGAATTAAGAGGTGGTAAGCAGTGTTACTTAATTCTTGAAGAATTAGGGGAGCTAGAGCCTGCTATACTTGAAAATAAAAAGAGACTTGACCAATGTGATGTGATCTGCTATACTTACGACTCTTCAGATCCAGAATCGTTCCAATACTTAGTGGATTTGAGAGAGAAATACTCTGCATTATTAGATGAAGTACCATCTGTGTTCGTTGCGCTCAAAGCGGATTTAGACAAACAAGAACAAAGGTCAGACGTTCAACCAGAAAATTATACCAGAGATTTGTTCTTGAGTTCTCCACTTCATATATCGTCTACGTGGACCACTTCCTTGCACGAGCTATTTATCCAATTAGTGGATGCTGCAAAAATGCCTAGCTCCTTCACCCCTGGCCTTGAAAGAGAGCCTGAGAATCCAAGCAATGAAAATGTCAAACACATAGTTATGGCTGGCGGAGCTATATCTTTAATGGCTATAGTATCTATATGGATTTGGAAGAGTTCATTACAAAGTTCAAGAGCTTGATTGCCTATGCCATTAAATGCTCATAACCGGTTATTACCAAAATTTTTTTTTTTTTTTGCGAAGCTCATCCTATAATATTTGCATCGAACAATATATATAATTTACATAGTTCAGCAATACAGCAAATAATCATGTCAGAACAACAATTTAAACCTGTAACAGTTGATAAGCCGATCCCAAATACCTATGATTTGGGTAATTTGGCTACATTTGACCCAAACCCTTTGGACAACGATAAATTAAAAGATGGATCTCAGAAAGAGGAATACTTAACATCTGTCACAAGAGACAACGTACAATTATTGATCAATCAAATATTATCTTTACCTGTCAAGACTACCACTGATAGTCAAGGATCTTCTACTGGACAAAGTTCAACAATGACATTAATTCAATTACCAGATCCAACTACCCAATTACCAAGAGAAAAGGCTATTCCAAAAGCTAAAGCACCTACAAAATGGGAACAATTTGCTGCCAGAAAAGGTATTAAAGCGAAGGCCAAGGATGGTAAGATGGTATTCGATGAAGCAACTGGTGAATGGGTTCCTAAGTGGGGTTACAAGGGTAAGAATAAAGAACTTGATGACCAATGGTTAGTGGAAGTTGATGATAAGGTCAAAGGAACCGAGAATGAGTTAATTGATCCAAGAACCTTGAACCGTGCAGAAAGAAAGAAATTAATTAAGAAGAATGAATTACAACATAAGCGTAATTTAAAAAATCAATCTTAATGTACCAAACATAATAGAAAGATACAAATAACTGCAATCGCAACTAGCGACTCACACATTGTCTCATCATATACATCTAAATTAATCCCGGTTTATTAGCATAAATTTCTAGAGCTTTCGTTTTTTTCATAGTGTTTCGAAGGCTAACATTCCATCATTATTTCCGGACATAACCTTGAATCTAGAAGTAGTTACCCACAGTAATAATGACTACATATTTATGTATACTATTTCCATTTCTAATCTTATAGTACCTATTGGTAAATGAATTATTTCAGTAAATATATCATCGTAGTTATAGTAGCTATTATATGGGTCCTGTATATACATATATATATAGTGAGCTTGCAATTAAGCTGAGAAAACAAATGTCATAATAAGGCTGTTTTGATAGTAAACATGAGTGATGAATATAAACCAGATGAGTATCTTCCAACGATAGATGTATGCCCTAAGTTGTTATTTAAATGCCTAAGCAATTAGCAAAAAATCAGAAAAATTACTAACATGATTTTCAGGCAATATTAAGCGTTGCAAACCTTGAACAGGTTACAGTCAAGAAGATAAGGAATGCTTTACAAGAGCTATTTGGAGTGAATTTAAAACCACATAAGGTATGTTAAATAAGTCAATTCGGTATTGAGTTGAATATTTTTATATTGAATTTGGCTGAATCGGAGACTAACATATGATAATAGAAAGATATAAACGAGGTTATATTAGAAAGATACTACGATCTTGTTAATAAAAGGAAAGAGGATACAAGAACGGAAGAAGAAAGAAAAAAAGAAGTAGAAAGACAGGATGCATTAATGGCTGTAAGGCTTCTGAAATCGAATCTCAAGGCACCTGTTAAGAGACAGAAGAAAGCAACGCCTAAAAAGACAAAGGAGAAGGATCCCGCCAAAAACAGAAACAGTGCGTTTTTCCAAGAACAACATTTGTCAAATGAACTTGCGGACGTTCTAGGTGTAGAAAAGTGCTCTCGGCCTCAAGTGGTGAAACAACTTTGGACCTATATCAAAGATAATAATCTACAGAATCCCGACGACAAAAGGCAGATTATATGTGATACTAAACTCCAGGCATTGTTCAAAAAAAGTATGTTTTTTTAGGTTCTTCATTTCAATGGATTGCATGCATGGTGGAATCTCCTTAAGGAATCTGTCTACTCTAACCTTGTTGCGTTCATATACTCTGAAAGAAAATTACTAACTATTTAGAATCGGTGGGAGCATTTGAAATGAACAAATTCTTGAGTCATCATATATTCAAGCCGGAGGAGGTTCATCAGCCCACTAGTGACCCAGACCAAAGTAGCGACTCCAGTGTAAAGAATGAAAAACCAGAGCCAGTAAAGTCCAAGTCCGCTAAACTGGAACCAGAGGTCCAAGATTCCTCGTCAGAAAGTGAGGAACAATAGTTGATCCTCATACTACATGTCCCCATTTCTCCGGATAATCAATCAATATGATGATTATTCTTATTTAAGTAGCACAATATTCTATATATCTTGTAGCTCAGCAACCATATAGACCTTATACTACTATGTATTATATTTGGAACTATAGAATATATATGCAGTATCATTGTTTTTGCCTGTTTATTTACTAGACTCAATTTATTGCGACATCTTCTTATGACATAATGTTCATCGTTACTATAAGATTTCAACCCTTCAGAAGAGTATAGTTCTAATCCTTTATGCTGACTAGGAGTAAGGAACCCTCGAGCAGGTCACAAAGTATTGCGTCTAGTACGCTAATCGCCGAGGACAAGGCCTATGATAATGTCGATTTAACTAAATTATATGAAGCTGTATTGAAGATAACTATATTAGAATATTGTAATGAAGCGAGATTTAGGACTCCGATAATAGAAGATCCTCAACCTAATTCTTCGAATGGATCGGTAAATTCGTCATCTACAAACTCCAAGCTTCTGAGAAGCTCCAAGTCGTCTGAAATAAGTGACCCTAAGCTCCCGACATATTTATTGGCAAGCTTAGAGACCAGGTTGAATTTGATTGCTATGAAGAAATCAGGAACCCATCTTGACGAAATGACAAGGAGATCATTATTGAGATTATACAGTGAATTGCTTGATCCTAAATTCAAAGCAGATGTAGCAAGTGTTAATAAACCAGAGTATTTGGTAATGAAATTCGTGTCGTGTGCTAATAAAGAACTAGTTAAAATTGGTACGATACCAAGCAGTGATATGAGTTCAGTTATTTTTAAACAGGCAGGGAGTTTCGTGCAAATTTTGATAAGTTTAATTCAAAAAGACAAGAACAGTGATGTTATTATTGCAAAATTACAAGAACATAAGGAGTCGCTCAAGCCCAGCAACAAAGCAAAACCAACGCAATCGGCCGCTTCTTCTTCTACAGCAGGATCCATAGTAAAATACCCGCAACCATCCTTCAGAATAACTGATATAGACCAAGGATATATTAATTTAATTACTGAATTGTTCTCAATCGATCAGGTCAAATTACAACAAGATATTTTTAAATTTAAGGATCTATCTCAACCTAAAGCATTGCATAAAGATATAAATCAAATTTTATTCTACTTGGATAAGGACTTAGGCCAGTTCACTTCAAAGAATTTCTCAAACGAAAAGGCGTATGACGAATGGAAAGAAAGAGAAAAGTATGGCTGTGAACAATTAATGTCGAAATATCATATACCATCTAACATGAAGCTTTTACCCGTTCCACCGCTACCTTCTGGCGAAGACTTCTATGTCTTTCCAACATCTTCATCGGCGAAGCCTTTCTTCGTAATATTGGCAAAATTATGCCTTGAATATGAAAATAAGACAAATTCCGCAGAATTATCGTCTTCTGAAAAACCATTTTTCTCAAAACAAGTTCAAAATCTTGTTGGTATATGTGCAAGATTCTGGAGAATTGATTATCCCACAAGAGCAGTTTCGTTGTATACGGCTGCTCACTTGTCTGGGATACTCAAAGATCCATTCTTCGAGCTGAGTAATACGAAAGAACTTGGACCAATAGATATTGAAATGACTACTAAGATGTTTTATGCTTGTAAAAGAATAATTGAAGAACAGGGAAAGCTAGATTGGGATGAAAAGGCTACCTGGTCATTTAAAGACCAAGATGAGTGGGTTAAGAATTTATCATATTCATACAACGAAACCTTATTTGGAATCAAAGAGTCATTAGTGCAAATCTTCAATAAGTCATCTAAACCAAAGTTTGGTCCGTATTTGGCCTTTTTGGGTGATTTTTTAGAATCTGATGCATTATTTTCATCAGTAGAAGATATGGGGTTGCCTAGAAAGTGGGAAAAGAAACTATCAAAAACTTTGCTTAGAACTTCAGAAGTCAGGTATGCTGAATTACTAAGCAACTTACCTCGAGACAACACCCTTGACATTATTCATATTTTGGATATATCTGAAAGCATTGTAAATGATATTAGAATGTTACAAAAGAGATATAAAAATCCATTGCTAGGATTTTTAAATGTTTCTCGTACAGTGGCGGCAGTTATAACAGGTATGTTTGCTGCTGATGCAAAAAATATTTTGAAACACATCGATGCATACGCTAAAACTAAAAATCAAATCTTACCTTACGGTGACGTATTGGAGGCATATAAATCTTTATATGAAATACGAGACATACATAATCAGGTTTCGTCAACTGGATCAATATTTAAGTTCAATTTGGAAGGCTTTTTTTATCCCTTTTTGGAAGAATGGATAACAGAAAGTGGTGAGAAGATTTCTAGCATTATCCACCGAGCTATGACTAATGATGACTTCCAACCTATAGACTTGAATAGAGATGACAAAAAGTTTAGTTCTTCAGTATTGGATATTTTCACATTAATCAAGGAGTTTTTAAAGATCTTGAATAGCTTAAATTGGTCAAATGAGTTTCAATTAGCTAAAATGTACACTACTTTGTTGAAAAGCATATCCGACGGGGTGCTATATTATGCCAACACCATGTCAGATAAAATCATTAAGGACCTAGATGAAGAAGAGCAGACAAAACTCGCTGCTGAGGCTAATAATGATACACTAGAAAAAAGAAAAAGTGGTAATTGGTTCGATGAAGTTAAGAATGTTGTTTCAAATATACAGAATAATACCAATAAACTTGAAATAGCCGAATCGTATAACTTCAAACCAGAGCTATGTATTGCTTTAAATAATCTAGATGCAATGATGCAACAATTGACAAAGTTGGAAGATATGCTAGACCCTGAGATGATTTCTAATACTGTTGCGGCATTCGACCCTAGTCTACAGAAAAATTATACCAGTCATATTTTTTCATTACGAATAATCAAAGCTGAAAATTTGAAGTCCGCCACTTCTTCATCATCCGTACATCCATATATTACTATGATTGACACAAAAGTTCGAAAAACAATTGGTAAAACAAGAACCATCAGCAATAACTGCAATCCTGAATGGGATGAAGAATTTGAATTGACAATTCCTGCTAATTCGTCACTTACTATATCGACAACAGTTTGGGATGAGAGGTTTGGTACACATTCTATTTGCGGTAGAGCTTTATTGCAATTAGATCCAAGAAGATTTAAGCATGATGGGATTCCACAAGAAGTGTATCTCGATTTAGATTCGCAAGGTAGAGTGTTGATAGAAATTGCTGTTGAAAGTGAGAGAGTAGATGCAATTTTTGTTATGGGAAGAGCTCATCGGTGTTTGAAAAGATGTCAAGAACGATGCATTAAATTAATTGTTGAAAAGTTTTCCAGGTTCATTCACTATTGCTTCTCAAGAGCAAACTTGAAAGCTATATGTGGGAGTAATGGAAACATAAAACCTACACAGGAACAGATGGATAACGCAATGATGCCATTATATAATTATTTGAACCTGAATTTGCAAGTTTTAGCCGAACATTTAAGTAAACATTTGTTGATGAAAGTTATGTTGGCCACCTGGGCGGTGGTGGTTTCAAGTGCTGATGAGCTTTTGTTGCCCAAGCTAGCAAGTGCAACTACGTTCCACCTTTCAAACATTGGTTCTAAACTCAAACCTAACAATACGACTAATTCCAATAGTGGTTGGCAGTCGGCAGTTAGTTCAGCTATGGCTAATGTCACTAATTCCATAGGTATCAGTGGTTTTGGAAAGCTGTTAACGAATACAGAACTTGAAACAGTTTTCGGTTGGCTTCACTTCTTGTGTTTCGATTTCTTTCATAATGATGGTAACGGACCACCGGTTAAAGATTTAAAAAATGAGCAATACCAAGCATTACTACTTGTCCCAGTTTATTATGATGGCGATGTCAATTATCTAACTCTGGAAGTTGACCGATTATCACCTGCCTTCGTCATGATGTTGCGTGGTAGAAATAACTTTGATGACACGCCATCTTCAGATATTAAGAAAACAAAGAATGGTCAAAGAAGTATGAGCAGAGCTGGTACGATAGTCAGAAATAAAACAATTGTTGCCAATGCAACCGCTAAAGCCAGAGCGAAGGCTGATAAAGAAGCGCAAGAAGCGAAGTCTGATCCCGTCGCTGCACAAACGTTAACAGAGGATATAATTCTTAGGCTTTTGTTGATTAAAGATGAAAAGGCATTTGTCGCTCGAAGATTAGAACAGAGAGAGAAAATGGCACATAGTATTGCAACAGAGAGGTTAGCAAAAGCTGCTGCAGAAGGTAGGTTTGCTAGACCTTAACCTTTCTTAGGTGTTTTGCATGCATTATTACATATATCATTTTATATTAAATAACTTTTCTTGCAACTCGTCAAAGAAATAAACTAAACATAGACTAATTGAAATACATAACGAAATAACTTAACAACGTAATAATAAAAACACATGAACTTTCATGTTTAAAGTACAATTATTCAAAAGTTCCACAATGCTAATCCTTCTTGTCATTTCCAATTGTGGAAGTTTGTGCTGACTGCTGACCCTCCACTAACATCGAAGCATCATCTTGGTTAACTGTTGTTTCATCTGTTGTGGTGTCATTGCCATCCTGTTGGATTGTTGTGTCATTGTTTTCTTGAATAACAGTAGTATCAGCATCATTGTCATGATTTGCCTTACCACTTATTGTTGGTGGGGGGAGTAATTTTGTTGGTGCCGAATTTTCCTTTTCATCTTTATTCGACGATTCAATATCCATATTATCAGCTTCATCATTTTCTCCTTTCTCTTCTTCTCCAGCCTCACCCGCACCTTGATCTTCTTCTTCCTTCGCCTCATTTTTCGCTTCCTTTTCTTTTACAAATTCTGTATACGTTTTTGCACCCTTTTCAAATAAAAGCTTAACCTTTTCTTCGCAAATATCAGTATTCTCTTCTGATACTGTCAGCTTCCATCCAGTTTCTTCATCATTTATTAGGCTCTTCAAAGTTTCTACCTTGTCTGCCTTATCTTTAG